AAAAAAAAAAAAAAAAAAAGACACAATAAAAAAAGGAACTTGCTGGGTATGGTGGCTCACAACTTTAATCCCAGCACTCAGGAGGCAGAGGCAGGTGGGCTCAAGGCGAGCCCCATCTATACAGTGAATTCCAGGACTACATGGGGAGACCCTGCCTCAAAATAACAAAAAATAAATAAATAAATAAATAAAAAACTACACAAAGAAACCCATACTCGAAAAAAAAAAAAAAAAAAAAAAAAAAAAATCCCAATGATGGCTAACCAATTCAGGTGACAGTACCACAACTCTACAAAAAAAAAATTTAAAGCTGTTATTCAAAGGACAAGTAAAAACCCCACCACCCAGATACAAGGAGCTTCCTGTGGGTCTTACTGAGAGCACTCTGATGTCTTCCCTTTGTTCTGATAGTCCATTATACACTGAATAAGATGGTTGTTTTCATCCAGCATCTAAATAAAACAGAAAAAGGTTATTGTAAATCTAGTGCGCATCAAGTAAGATAAATGACCAAGAGGTCTGATGACAGAAGATATTTATGAATATTACATACTTAACAAATACAGTTTCCTCAAAGTCATAATTACAGATTGCAAAATCATCCAAGTGAACAGGGGAAACACCCTCTTCAATTACTTTGTGTTACTGTTTCTACCTGCTGCTACAAAATGTTTCAAAGTTTACAGTAATAAGAAATCATGAGATTGAATTAACTTAGTTAAAATTTTTCATTACTGTTAAAATGTATAAATACTTATAAAACATGCTAGCCATGATTCATATAGATAATTCTATAACAACTGATTTTTGCAATTTGAATTTTTCTGGAAATGTCACATCTACATGGAAACTAAACCTACTGTGGTCTTCTGTTAATACACAGATTATACCTTGTGACACACACATAAAAATCTCTACTTTGTATATCTGGAATGATACCACATTTAATCAATTATGTTTAATACTCTATTTACCCTATTCCAATTATTCTCCTTGAAACCCAGAAGGGAAAATTGGTGTATTTTGACCTGTTTTATTTAGCATTAGTGAGTGAGTGTGCTCTCTCCTCTCTCTAGCTCTCACTAACACTCTAACACACACACACACACACACACACACACACACACACACACACACGCCAAGGTGCATGTGAGAGTAGAGGATAACTCTGTGACACAGTTCTCTCCTTGAACCCCACTGAGCCATCCTCCAGGCCCCATTTTTTTTTAATACAGAAACATTTAATTGTCTATGCTATCTGTAACTATAGTTCCAACCAGCTGAAAGTTAAGTCTCAATTGGTTTTGGAGCATTCTAATGCTTCGTAGTATGAAGGGAAAAAATCTGTCCTTACCCAGACTGAAATAAACACATGAATATGGATGCCCAGGAACTTGACATAACAAACAGGCTACCTTCTTTTCTAACTGTATAGATGTGTGACTCTCTAACACCACACATAACGATAGTTATACATTTATAATATTTAATAAAATTTGAGTTTATAATATACAATTAGGTATCTCTCAGTGCTTAAAAACCTAAGATACATAAATTATGATTTTATCATCTGACAACAATCTAAGCAACCTTGGTTTTAAAGGCTAAATAACTCATCTATGACAATGGTACTAGACAAGGGACCTACAGAAGACGGCCAGTGCCAGCACGCTGTCCCTAGCACACCATCTGAGTTTGTAGGAGCTTAGGTTAGGGTAACGCTGGTCCTGAATCCACCTTTCGTGATTCAGTGAATGACCAGGAACACCATCCAAACCCCATCTTCTCTAAGGTGTGTGCTTCTTAAAAGATCACTAGATAGATACCAAGAATATTCTTTTTGTTTGTTTGTTTGTTTCTGGTTTTGAGACAGGATTTCTCTTTATAACAGCCCTGGCAGTCTTGGAACTCACTATGTAGACCAGGCTGGCCTTAAATCTGGAGATCCGTCTGCCTCCTGAGTGCCATCAATTCAATACTCAAATCAAGGAATGCATGGTACATTAAATAACCGCAACCATCTGTCTGTTTCCTGTCTAATACCAATGTCTGACCCTGTAAACAAAACTAAACTGGAATACACGTTGGGGGCTGGAGAGATGGCCCAAAGGACAAGAGCATTTCATGTTCTTGCTGAGGACCTGGGTTTGGTTCCCAGCACCCACACAATGCGACTCACAACTGGCTGTTAACGCCAATTCAAGGGAATCAATGTTTCTTCTGACCTCCCAGGCACTGCATGTACATGATACACACACACACACACACACACACACACAATATAAAAAGATTTAATCCATTTTTCACTTCTCATCTGAGAATGAGAAATAACCAGTTAACACCTACTAGATCACTCACGATAAACAGTAAGACATAGAACTCGACCGAGAAAAAGGAAAACGACAGACGTCTTCTAGAGTTCAAAAAGAAAGCGCGAATCCCTTCAGAAACATGCTTTCTGCACGTGTGTGAAGGAAGTTGTTCGCCAGGCTACCACTAGAGAAAGCAACTGCGTTTCCAGGCGCTGCCAGGCGGGTTTCTTCAAAGAAAATAAAGCAACAGTTGGGCAAACGTCAAAGGCCACACTACAAAGACCCTGACAGTAAACAGAAACGGGTGGCCATCAAGCCCCAGGTCTGCAAGGGTGCCCCGATTGGTACTACAAATTGACTTTGTCTCCTCAACCTTGCTCCAAGGCAGGGGACAAGACAGAAATACTCAAGGCAAACTGCTCAACTTAGCAAGCGACTTTTCTTAGTCTACCACGCCGAGATCTAGAATAGTGCCTTGCTCTTAGACACAGGCTCAGAGGATAATAAAGAAGCTTTGTGTCCCCAGTTGGCATTCCCAGAGCGGCGACTGGGGTGCCACGCTCGGCTCCCAGCGCTTCTACCCTGACTTAATGCAAACCGCCCGCCCGTCGGTGTGGACGGCCGGAGACGGCCCACTCCGGCCGGCGGCGGGCAGGCTCGCCCTCCCGAACCCCAGCGCCTGCCCCGCGCCCAGGCGCATCTAGCAGGGGCAGACGGGAGCGGCCCCCGGGTGCTCCTCTGGGGCAGCCCCGCGCCCACTGGCTCCTTCCTCGCCGAGCCTCTGCGGAAGGTTCCCAAGTTCTCCGGGAAGGGCCTCAACTCCGCCGAGTTTGCGGCGCAGCACTCCAGGCTCCGGCTTCCGCGAGTGGGGTCCCGGCGGGGCGGGGCGACGCCGGAGTCCCGCCGGCCGCTCCTCTCCCGGCCCCGCGCCGCCCCGCCGAGCCCACCGGGCCCGCGGGGAGGTCCGGCGGCGGTTGCCGGCGCTTTTGTGCGGGCAGAGCAGGCGCCAAAGGGCTCCGCCGGCTTCCCGGCGCCCGCCCCCACCACCGCCCGGCCGCTCCCCCCCACACCCCAACGCCACCCCGCCTCGGCCCGCGCTCGGGCGCCTCTCCCGGCTCACCTTCTGGATGGCGGCGGGCGTGATCTCCCCTTTGCCCCGCTGCCTCGGGGCCGCGAACGCCACAGACATGTTGCCACCGAGCCCGCGATCGGCGAGTCCGGAGCGCTCCGGGGGCCGCGGAGCTGGGGGGTAGTCCCCGGTCCGGGAGGGGGCGAGGCGGCTGCGCCGAGCTCTACCTGGACGCTCCCTGCCCGGCCGGGTGAGCAGCGCCAGGAACGCG